TAGCTCGTCCTTCAACAACCGGAGTTTGCGGACGTGAGGGCGAATCTCCGGATACAGCAGCTGAGAGAATGGTTGGAAGTTCAAGAATTGCTTCGTCTACAGCATCCACCAATTCTTGACCCAAGCTGGTGTTCACCGCATAGAGGAGATAAGACAATTGCGATGAGGTGAGACGAACTGTGGGCATTGCGGTGCCAAATGAGGGTGGGAATTCAGCCCGCCCGTGAGCCTAAGTCCCACGACCCCACAAGGGTAATCCGGGCCATAAAGGGAATACATTGGGAAACGCACGGATAATATACATGAACGATGATGAACGACGAAGAACTAGCGAACTGTCAAAGGTGTAGGCAGGGGACTGAATTGCTGCAGATTACCTGGATGAAGGAAGGGCATCAGTATGACAGTGTAAATGCAGGAGAGGTCAGACGTACCTTAATTTGCGCTTCTTCAGCACGGGCAACCCTTGGAGCTCGACCGACGCCTTGAAGGCATCGAGCGTCCGCTTCCTGACCACTTTCACCCTCTTCTGATCGGCCCCCAGAGTGTCGTTTGGCCTTTCTTTGGCATTATCCAACTCGATATTCTTCTGAATGATCGCGATAATCTCTTTGGGGATGATGCTAAAAAATGTTTCTTCCATGGAGTCTTGCTCTAGGGCGTCTCTGATGAACCAATGTTTCGCAAAGTTGATGGTATCTGTATGGGTGTCTTGCCCAGGGGGTAGAGCTATTGACATCATTTAGTAAATTATACTTCATGAATGAGGGGGCGGGATACCTGGAGTTTGTTGACCCCCTTAGCTGGGACAGCATGAATATACCGCGTACGTGTTTTCCCTGTCTCTTCGTCCATTGCTGTGTCCACTGCGAGGTACCTGGACGTTTTATCGAACGGCGTTGCTGCCACTAATTCTTCACCGCGCAAGATGAGCATCTTGCCCTTGAGGTCATCCAACTGCTCATCATCTTCAGCCCAGCGAAGAAACCCACCCACCCATTGAGTTATATAAAGCTCCTTC